CATCTGCTCTCAGTGCAACAGGATGAAAGCCATTTCCTTTAGGGAGTGGTTCCCGGACACCTGCTCTCACCTTCTCAGGCTCTTATGTACAGTGGGCTTACCCTAGCTATGGCGTTCCTCTCTTGGATAAGACTGTGAACTCTGAACTCCCCGAGGCACAACCATGTCTGCTTGTGTACTGTAATGTCCAAGTGGCCAGCACAGGCCTGGAGATAGGCTGTCCCCAGTAAATACTTGTTGAACAAGGGACAGGGGCCTTGTCCACCCTGTCTACTTCCATTACTTTCTATAAAGTATCAGGTTCTAAATCATCAGCCCTGTTCCCCCCCTCCACATCCCCCCTAGCTCATGAGCACCTGAAGTCGAGTGGGCTGCTCGATCTGTCACTAACCTCAGTCCCCTGTCTCTGTCAGTGGCACCCACTCACCCAGGCCAGAGACAGGGGAGCCGCTGGAATCCCCCCATCCATCAGCCCCATGGAACTTCACTTTCCATGTCTCCCCTCTCATCCCTCCCAGCTCCCCTCTGCCAGGATGTTTGCAGCTGCCTCCTTCCTCTTCTTGTTTTCGCTTTTGCTACAGCTTCCACCATTCCGCTGCTAGGAGACCTTGCCAAACACAGATCCAGACGGAAGGCAGCCCCTCACACCTGCCAGATGGCACTAACCTCCTCTGCCATCTCACCTCCTCTGGCAGGTGTCACTAGTGGCTGTACACTTGGGCTCGGAGACAGACTTTCCCAGGCAAAACTCATCTGCCGATTGCATTATCATTTTCTCTTTTTCTTTTGTCAGAGGGCACATATTCTCACAAAGGGAGAGAGAAGGAGAGAGGGAGTACCCGTTGACGGGCCTGGTCATGCTGCAATCCCTTCTCCTCCATTTCCTCATCGCATCAGGGTTTTGAACACACATGAACGCACTCAGTGTGTCTTCCAAGCAGCAGGGGCTGGAATTTGAACTGTGGTCATCTATGGAGGATTCAGATTCCAAAGCAAAGCACTTAACCATGAGCTACGGGGTTGGCCCAGTCTTGCCAATTTTACATTAGCATGGTGTTGTGCTTATAATTATTGTTGTGCTTAATATTATTAACAAAGGTATCTCAGCATCTGAACATGAACGTTAGGGATAAAGTGTTGACTGTTTTATAAGGCAGTGTCACGAGTAAATAAGTTGATATATAAATCTATCTATCTATCTATACACACATACACACACACACACACACATATATATAACACAAATGAGTTAACACATGTCCAGAAAGTGCGTACAGGAAGTGCTCGGTGAAGGTTAGCAACAGCCCTCATAATTTTCCCTTTCCCCATTTTGCCTGAAATATCTTGAGGCACCACTAGATGGAGACACTCTAGCTCGGCCTCTTACCTCTCCAGTCTCTGTGCTCCTATTGCTTGCAATTCTCAGAAGCTCTACATTCCTGGAAGTTTGCTGCCTCCTCGCCCACCTCCTGCCATGCTGGGTCAAGCCTCAATGTCTGTGTTGTCCACACCCAAGGTTCATGTTTTTACTTCTGCCAGCCTCACCTCCTTCGGGATGTATCCCTGACATCTTTCCACCCCTCTTATTAGGCAGACTATCTTCTGTCCGCTGCTTCTTTTTAATTAACAAGTTAGAACTGTACATATTTGTGGGGGCACAATGTGATTTTACAGAACAAGAATGTACACTGTGCAGTGATTTATTCAGGATATTCAGCACACCCATCATCTCAACCATGCGTCATTACTTGTGTTGGGAACATTCAAAATCCTCTTGGTTCATTACCTTGAGATTTCGTTCATGAGCTTCTGAGAATCGGGACACCCCCTGGACTGCCGGCCTTGTGCACCAGCAATTCCCCCTTTACCTGCCAGTAGACGGGAGTCTGCCCAGGTTGGGTGTCTGAATGAAGTTGTCATTGGTGAAATCTCAGGGGGGATGTGGGGGTGTCCCTAATGGATAGATCCCTGGCCGGAAGCCAGGTGTTTAGGTCCTGCCCTGCCTCGAGTTTAGTTACTTTCTTGAGGACTACCTGAGTGCTATGTTCTGCCCAACCACCACGGGGCGTACCTGCCACCAGGATTTGTGTCGTAGGCAGTTGGTTGTACTGCGGAGGTTTTAGGCGATGCAAAGCCCAAGGCAAGCCCAGTGCTCATGGCCACCTGGCAATGTTTAGTGAAATGGATGCGTGTGCTCACCGGAGAGACCAGAAAGTAAGAAATCACCCCGTGGGGGGGAGGGGCTGGCCATGCTGCAATCCCTTCTCCTCCATTCTCCTCTCAGGATTTTGGGCATGCATGCACATACGCCTGGTATGAGTTTTAAGCCACCGGGTCCAGGACTTGAATCACGGTCTACTACTTGGGAGTCCAGTGATGTAACCATTATACCATCTGCTGGTCTTTATCATTTTTATTTTTAAGCTATTTGCTTTTTGTATTTAAAGTTTATCTTTTGTTATAACACACAGATAGTCTCTGCTTTAAAAAAAATACAACCTATTGGTCCAGCTGGTGGCACAGAGATTAATATGACTGGATCTCACACGGCTTACTATGCAATTTAAGTCCTGGGTCTATTGGCTTGAACACTAGGCTAGGCGCAAATGTGCATGCCCAGAACCTCAAGCAGAGAATGGAGGAGAAGGGATTGTGGCATGGCTATCTGCTCCCTGGAGGGTGATTTCTCACTTTCCCTGTCTCTCTCTCTGGAGAGTACACATGCTTTATAGCAAGTTTAAAACAAACACACCCCTCTTTGCCACGTCTACTGTGAGGATGAAGACCATTCTCAGCAATCAGATTGTCAGACATTCCAGAGAATGTCGACATCACGCTGAAGGGATGCACAGTTATTGTGAAGGGCCCCAGAGAAACCCTACAGAGGGATTTCAATCACATCAATATTGAGCTCAGTCTCCTTGGAAACAAAAACCAGAGGCTGCAGATGGACAAATGGTGGGAAACAGAAGGGAGCTGGCTACAGTTCGCACTGTCTGTAGTCACATCCAGAACATGGTCAAGGTGCTACCCTGGGCTTCCTTTACAAGATGAGGTCTGTGTCTGCTCATGTCCCCGTCAAAGTGATTCTTCAGGAAGACGGGTCACTTGTTGAAATCTGAAATTTCTTGGGTGAAAAATGTATCTGGAGGGTTCGAATACAACCAGGTATTGCTTGTTCAGTATCTCAAGTCCAGAAAGATGAGTTGATCCTTGAAGGCAATGATACTGAACTTGTTTCAAATCCAACTGCTTTGACACAGCAGGCCACGATGGTTAAAAATGAAGACAGAAGAAAATTCTTGGAAGGCATCTGTGTCTCTGAAAAGGGAACAGCTCAGCAGGTTGAATGAGTAAGATCGAAGTGTTTGCCAGCTACAGTAACAAACTAGTGATGATTTCTAAGGCCATTACATGGTATTTTAAAGATGATAGTAAAAGACAACTCATTTGAAAATACAAACAAAATCTTTACATAACTGAATGTATCCTATCTTACCATACATTTTTGAACATTTTATTTGTTTTCAGTATTTTTTTGGTACAAATTCCACTTGTAACGATGGTGATAGATTCTTATATACCAGGTGTACAGATCTCATTTATGGATACAGAAGTGTGTGTGCACAAATACACACATACAAACCTTACTAAATGTATTTTATCCTAGTACTGCAAAGATTGTTTGATATTAGTGAGCAGATTAAAGGAGGAAAGACAAATGGTGATATTAATATATGCTGAGAAAGTCAACATTCAATCTTTATTTTAAAACACTTAGGATCAGGACTAGCAGATGGTGTGGTGCTTAAGGTGGTGGACTCCTACAAGGCTGACTGTAGTTACAGCCCCAGACCAGGCAGATTGCTTTCTCACCTCTCTCTCTCTCTCTTTCTCTCTGTCTTTCTCTGGTGAGCATGCATTCCCTGTAGCAAAGGAAAAAATAATAAGAAGAATAAATAAAAAAATCTTTAAAAAATACTTAAGGGCTAGTGATTGGAGAACTCTTATTAAAATTTTATAAGAAAACCGCTAGGAACCGGTAACTCTCATATTTATCAGTGACTACTTCAAAGCATCTTTTCTATGGTGAGGGACGGGATAAGGATATTCTAGAGGCCACCCAAGACTTGAAGAAAAGAAAACAAAGATATTGGAAGTAAAGAGCAAAACTGCCATTAATCCAGGAGAAGGCCGGCCAAGTGGCATGGTGGTTGAGGCAGTTGGATCTCACATGGCCAACTGTGTGGTTTGAGTCCTGGACCTGCTGGCTTGAAAAACATGCCAGGGTGGGGAGAACCAGCAGTTAGCGTAATGGCTATGTCGCTGGACCCCCCTGTAGTCGACCGCGGTTCGAGTCCTGGACTCAGTGGCTTAAACTCATGCCAGGTACATGTGCATGCGTGCCCAAGACCCCAAGAGGAAAATGGAGGAGAAGGAATTGCGGCGCGGCCATCCTCGCTGGGGGGTGATTTCTTGCTTTCTGTCTCTCTGCCTCTGTCTCTCTGGTAAGAGCACGCACCCTATAGCAAAAACCTCTCAAAAAAAAAAAAAACCCAGAAAACTAAATGAAAACATGTGGGGCACATGTGTGTGAGTGTTGGAAATCCCAAGAGGACAGTGGAGGAGAAGGGGTTGTAGAGTGGCCATCATCCTGTGGATGTGATTTCTCACTTTCCCTCTCTCTCTTTCTGTTTTTCTCCGGTGAGTATACGCAACCGATGGCAAAGATCCAAAAAGAACCCCTAAACCATAAACCAAAACAACAATAAACATAAATGACCAATAGCACATTTTAGCAGTGATGAAGAACTTAAAGATTCAATAAGGAAAATAGTTAACTAAATTATAGTTCATCCATATTACAGAATACCGTGATGCCATAATAAGGAATAAGGTTGCTTTTTATTAAGTGAAAAAAGCAAGAACAATATAGGTATAATTCTCTCTGTAAGAATACACACATACATATGAAAGGTACAAGAAAAAGTCTGAAAGAATGAAGACCAAAATATTTTATTTTTAGAAAAAAAAAAGGATTGGTTAGGGCATGAGGTGTGTTGTGTGAAGTGGGATTTGAAATGTTTATTCTACATAATTTTCTGGTGTTAAGAATTTGTCTTTGCAGTAAGCATGCATTCATCTCTTGGGTAATTCTGAAGACTATCTTCTAAAATAACAAAAAATACAGGAAGTCACCCAGCAAAGCACTTAGTGCATAGCATTAATAGTAGGCAAAAATTTAAAACAATCTGAATCTCTGCAAGTCATAAACAAACGGATGCCCTCATGTTACCTAGGCATGTGTTTGGCTCATGTGCGGCGCCGTAGATTTCCAACCCTCCCTCCACATTTGGATTAATCTCCATGTTCTTGGATTATTATCTGTACATTCAACTTAAAAGCAGGATATGTTATATTTAATCATTACATCTTGGGATTTGACATTCGGTGAGTTTCTCCAGGTGCAGATGGACCCCATTCTTGGGTTTGAGGATAATTTGGTTCGAGAACTCAGGAGGCCTGGTGGTGTCTGGAGACACTTTGAAGTTGAGCAGAATCAAGGCAGTGGCCACCTTCAACTCAACCATGGCATACTGCTGCCCAATGCAATTCCTGTGTCATGGAGGGAAAAAAGAAGTGAGACTTGAAGAAATTATGCTTCTTCTAACTCTCTTCTTCTTCTTCTTCTTTTTTTTAAAGGATCCTTTTAAGGGCTGACAGATAGTGTAGTGGTTAAGGTGTTGGACTCCCACATGGTTAACAACTGTTGGTTGAGTCCTGGACCTGGCAGCTTGCTTTCTCAGTCTTCCTCTCACACTCTCTCTCTGTTTCACTCTAGTCAAATTGAAGGAAAATAATAAACAAATAAAATTAAATTACTTTATAAAGAATTATTTTATTGGACTTTATTGATTTATTTTAATTTGACCAGGATGGGGAGGGAGAGAGAGAGAGAGAGACTTGAACTGTAGTGGGACATGTGTGAGTCCAGCGCCCTTAACCACCATGTCTCCTGCCAGCCCCCTCTCTCTCTTCTTCCTTTTTTTGTTTTTGGAGAGGTTTTTGCTATAGGGCATGTGCACTCGCCAGAAAGACAGAGACGGACATAGAGACAGAAAGCGAGAAATCACCCCCCAGGGGGGGATGGTCACACCGCAATCCCCTCTCCTCCATTCTCCTCTTGGGCTCTTCGGCACACATGCACATGCTCCCGACGTGCGTTTAAGCCACTGGGTCTGGGACTCAAACCGCGGTTGACTACGTGGGAGTCCAGCGACATAGCCATTACGCCAACGGCTGGTCCCTTTTACTTTAGTTTTGGTATAGAGCGTATGTGGCTACTGGAGAGAAACGGAGAGAGAGAAAGGGAAAGTGAAAAATTACCCCCCCCCCCCAACCACCAGGGTGGATGGTCATGGCACGTGCTTTCTCCTCCAGTCTCCTTTGGGATTTTGTGCATGCATGCACATGTACCCAGCATCAATTTTTTTTTTTTTGAGAGGTTTTTGCTATAGGGCGCATGCGCTCACCAGAAAGACAGAGAGAGACAGAAAGTGAGAAATCACTCCACAAGGGGGATAGCCACACCGCAATCCCTTCTCCTCCATTCTCTTCTTGGGATCTTGGGCACGCACGCACATGTGCCCGGTGTGAGTTTTAAGCCACCGGATCCAGGACGCAAATCGCAGTCAACTACATGGGAGTCCAGCGACATAGCCATTACACTAACTGCTGGTTCCCCAGCATCATTTTTAAGCCACCTAGTATGGGACTTGAGCCACAGTCAGCCATGTAAGAGTCCAGTGCCTTAATGGCCATGCTACCTGCTAGTCCTTGTTTAACTCTTTAATAAGGTATGAGGCTGACTAGTCTGAAGCACAGAGGACAGCAACATGTCCACATTAAATGCCACAGGAACGTCTGGAGTTTGGATTACATTGTTCTCTGTAAGAATGTGGGCTGAAAGGCTCCAACATGATGGCCTCCCCATAGCAAGGCGTCAGCGGGAGTTACTCTAAGGACTGTTTCTCTGACAGGGGAATGGGCTGCACTGAGCCTTTGAGTAACACCGTACATCAAGGGACAGGTGTCTGAGGCAAGGGACAGAGAATCGTGTTGTGTTTTGTGAAATGAACTGACCCCTTTAGGGACCTAAATAGGGACCAAGACCTAAGTCATGGCCAACTGAAAAGATGGGGTCTGTGGAAGAATGGATCAGTCTGAGGAACTGAAGAGAGTAGGCTGTGTCCAAGTAAATATTTTGTGTATTTCAACAACTTTAAACGGTTCTTACCTTGGTCCAGCTGAAAATGGTAAGAAGGCATAGGGGTGTCTCTGATCAGAATTCTCCCGAGAGAACCTCAAGGGGTCAAAGACCTGAAATGAGAGGACAGCTCCGCCACCATCCCCAAACAGCATGACCATATTTCTTATGCAGCTACTCTGCCTTGGTCATTAGTAATGTAACATCACCACACGTGCAATTTAAAATGTTCCGATAACCACACTTTAAGTCATTTTTCTAATAGTCATATTTTAAAAGAATGAAATGACTTTTAATCATAGGATTTATTTAACCACAAAATGATTCCATTGTATAATCAATATAAATAATTATTAAGAAAGTATTTCACATTTTAAAATAGCATGTCTTCAAAATTCAGCGTGTATTTCACACTTGCAGCACAGCTTTATTCGAACTTAGCCACACTGCACGTGCTCAGCAGCCACCGTGGCTATGCTCGCTACCCTGCAGAGCTGTAGCTCTGCAGCCAGGTCTGACCTCCCAGGCCACTCGTCTGCAACAGACTAAGTAAGGGGGAAGCAAACATCTTATGGACAACGGTATTATTTTACTTTGGAGATAAGAGTGCACCTTCTCTCTCTCTTTAAAGATTTATTTATTTAGTTTTATTTATTCACTTATTTTAATTAGACCAGAGAGAGATTCATAGAGAGGGAGGGAAAGTGAGAAAGCAAGCCACCAGGGCCGGGACTCAAACTGTGATCAGCCATATGGGAGTGTCCAGCACCTTAACCACATATGACACCTGCTGGTCCCTGCACTTTCTTCTTTTTATTTTTTTAATAATTATTTATATAATTTTATTTGTCATTATTATTATTGCTATTTAAATTTTGTTACAGGGCACACACACTCACCAGAGAGAGAGAGAGCAAGTGGCCAGGTCTGGGACTCGAACCACAGTCAGGCATGTGGGAGTCCAGAGCCATAACCACCATGCCACCTGCTGTTCCCAAGAGTGAAACTCTTAGAAGTCAGGCAAAAATATCTGTGGTCAATATGGAGACATGTAGTCTTGGCTTCCCATTACACGTACTAGATCATAAACCTTAGGACTTGTGTGAAAGGCAGCACCAGTACATGTTACCTGACTTCCTGCTGGGTTAACAGCATTGGCAGAGTGGGAGGAGAGGCTTTTAGTCCCCGGACTCCTCCCCACTAGCTGTCTCAGGCTGGCAGCTTGCCTTGCCACAGCTCCGGTCTGACGGCCTTTGTCCAGAGTCCTCTCTCTCCAGGGTCTGTATGCATCCCTCCTGTGTCCCATGAAGCCTAGAAGCACTTTTGGCAGCTGTTTGCTTTATTTTGCTTTTCCTAATCTGGCCCATATCTTTGTAAATTGTTCCATTATAAAGAACTTTCCAAAGTGCCCCACTTGTGTCCTTGATTTTCTGCTGGGATCCTGATAGTTACATCCAGCAATAGAGAGCCTGAACTCACACTGAATTTTTCTATTGGCAGTTACAGTCTTGCAGCTATCCAGGTATTTGGTTGTGTTTGCTAAGAAAATGACTGAGGTAGTTGAGAGCAGATGGAATGGCATTAAGTCAGTCTGTTCATTCAGAGCAAAGACTCAGGGAAGGAGAAGAGTTTTCTTTTAGTGGAAAAGTTTAACGTTTTTTGAGTTTTTGTTAGCTTTGCATGATTTGCTTTCACTGTGTGGCCACTTCCATGCTCAGCTACCCCAAGGTGAGCTGCCCAGTGTTTGTTCTTTGAAGTAGTTTCGTGTAAGAGGGTCATACCTTCGGGTTTTTCCACACTGCAGGGTTGTGGTGAAGACCCCAGATACTGAGAACCACAAGTGTTCCTGAAAAAGAAGGGAAATGCAAGAGAAAGGAGGAAAGAGTAAGCTATGGCTTCAGTCATACTGTTGTCAGGAAGACTTTTCTTCTCGAAGGGAAGAAGCCAGCTCCCGGCTGAGCTCTGTGTTCTGTGGTTGATGCCACCAGGGAGGGACACACGGTGGATGAGGCTTAGGCTCACGCCTTAGTTTTCAAAGCAATGATTTACTTAATTCATGACCATATCTCCAAAAGCTGTTCGTGTTACATCAGAGTGATAGATCACATTTACGTTTCTTGTTTAGAAATGAAATAAATGTTTGTTTATTGAATTTTGTTTATTATTATTATTTCTTAGTTTGGTATAGGGCATGTGTGCTCCCCAGAGAGAGAAATAGAGAAAGAGAGAGAGAAAGTAAGAAAGCAAGCCACCAGGTCTGGGGTTCGAACCATGGTTGAACATATGGGAGTCTAGCGCCTTAACCATCATGCTACCTGTTGGGCCTGAAGTAAATATCTGTTAACAGGCTATAAAGTACCCACTAGGGACAGTTTGAATACCTAAGAACAAAGCTGTAATTCTATTATACAGATCCAGTGACAAATTTCTGTTGGTGCTATTTGTGTATGGAAAATGGGGAATTTGGGTAAATATCTATGTGGTTTGGGGATAAACAAACAAACAAAACAAAAACAAAGACAAAAAAGAGAGAATCTGAGGACTATCTGGTTGTCAGAAATAATTTTTGGTAAGTTAACTCTGGACCTGTCAGCAAAGTAGCAGTGATAGGCTGAAGGTGTTGGCTACAACAATTCTGTTAGGTTGTTCCCCAAGGCAAGAGTTAATAGAAAGGATGTCTCATGTGACCCCTCTGCCTCCTACCTGCCCTGCTCAGAAACCCAGGTCGTTCTGAAGAGCACCGGGCTCCAAGTGTGAGGACTGTGAGTTTTAACTCTGTTTAGTTAACCCCGTCTGCACATTGGAGTTTCCCCAATAGGTATTTTATACCAGAAGTATTTAAAAGTGTTTTGAAAACTGAAAACATCTGTTTAAATGTCTGGCAAAGTCATGTTCCAGGGAAAAAAGCCGAGGTAATATGTAAACTATCAAGAGCTGTGCAATTATGAGAATGTTACAACGAAGAGGCCAGAAACCTGTCGGCTCTCCCAGAAAAGATAATGGTATTTCCCTCCCATGAAATGTCTCACTTGGGTCTCAAACTCAGTCAGACAAAGGTGATTTTTTTTTTTTTTGAGAACATTTTTTTTTTTTTTGCTATAAGGTGCATGTGCTTGCTGGAGAGACAGAGAGACAGAAAGCAAGAAATCATGCCCTGGGCAAATGGTCACGCTGCAATTCCTTCTCTTCCATTCTGCTCTTGAGAGTTTGAGCACGCATGCACGCATGCACATGTGCCTGTCAGGTATGGGATGCAAAGGGCAGTCAACTATGTGGGAGTCCAGCGATGTAACCATTATGCCATCTGCTGGTCCCCAAAGATGATCTTTGAAACAATGTACCGTAATGGAAGAAACACTACACACTGGATTCCAGAAAGACAGGTCTCTATTTTGCTTTACCTAAATCCAGCCCATATCCTGTTTAGCTTTACTGAAACTGGCTATGAAACTCGCATGGGATCAAGGCATTATCGTCTGAACTCTTTATTTCAATTTTCATTTGTGTTTAATTTAAATTATTATCTTTTAAGTTAATTTATTTTTAATTTCATTTTCTTTTCTTTTCTTTTTTTTTTGGAGAGGTTTTCGCTAAAGGGTGCGTGTGCTCGCCAGACAGACAGAGACATAGAGACAGAAAGCGAGAAATCACCACCCAGGGGGGATGGTCACACTGCAATCCCTTCTCCTCCATTCTCCTCTTGGGATGTTGGGCACACACGCACACATGCCCGGTGTAAGTTCTAAGCCACTGGGTCTGGGACACGAACCGCGGTTGACTATGTGGGAGTCCAGTGACACAGCCATTACGCTAACTGCTGGTTCTCAATTTCATTTTCTTTCATACATTCAATCATATTATTATTTGGCTTACAAAATGGATATTTCTTCTTCTTCTTTTTTTTTTTTTTTTTTTTTTTTTTTTTTTTTTTTTTTTTGGGGGGTTGTTGTTATGGGGCGCGTCGCCGCCCATGGGAGTTCAGCGACATAGCCATTACGCTAACTGCTGGTCCCACAAAATGGATATTTCAACAGGTGGACATTTCTCCCTAGTACAGTTGAGAAAACTATAAAATATCTCCAACAGATAACACCACATTTCTTTGTGCCATTAGTGCTTTGCCTCCCTATTTTTCTTCTAAGTGTCCTTCCTCAGACCCTTTTCTTTCTCATCTGAGCTCTTAACATGTGCCCAACCCTAAGCTAGATGTCCTTGGGATTTTCTTTGGACTTCTCCAAGAACTAAGAAACCCACCAATCTTTGTCTTTGTGGTTCCCAGGATCCCACAGTCTTTAGGAACTGCCCAGGAAAAAATTGCAAAGACCTGCAGGCAATGAGCGTCCATCTGGGAATGTAAGGGGCTTGACGAGCTCTCTGGAAACGGATGGTGCTGTAGGAATCAATCGGAATGTCTCCTTAATGCACATTGTGGTGTACGTCATCTCACTCAGATGGTCCCTGTGAGGACAAGGGAGGGAAGGAAGAGACTCAAATTCCATATCGTAATTGTAAATACTGATTTTGTTTTCCATTTGATGTTTGTCCTTGGTAAATACAGCCTGCAGATGAAAGCTTATTAGTAAAGTGAACCTCCAGTAAAGCATTTGCTAAGATTTCTAAAAACAAGATTTGGAAGCCTTAACTCATCATAAAAAAAAAAAAAAGAAATGAAGAGTGGAGGCTTAGGAATTTTGAGAGGGGGACTAGCAGGTGGTGTGGTGGTTAATGTGGCTGGACTCTCACCTGGCTGTCTGTGGTTCGAGCTTGCTTTCTCACTTTCTCTCTCTCTGGTCAACTTTAAAAGTGGAAAAGAAAGGGACCAGCAGTTAGCATAATGGCTATGTTGCTGGACTCCCACGTACTCAACTGTGGTTCGCGTCCTGGACCCGGTGGCTTAAAACTCACGCTGGGCATGTGTGCGTGCATGCCCAAGATCCCAAGAGGAGAACAGAGGAGAAGGGATTGTGGAGTGGCCAGCCCCCCTAGGGGGTGATTTCTTGCTTTCTGTCTCTCTGTCTCCTCTGTCTGGCGAGCACACGCGCCCTATAGCAAAAACTTCTAAAAAAAAATGGAAAAGAAAATAATGACAATGAATAAAATAAAATAAAGTAATTATTAAAAAAAGAATTTTGAGAGGAAAAACAAAATCCTTTAATGAGGATTATTGGAATGCCATGGAAATGGAGGAGCTTCTCACTTACCTCCCATTCCATCTTAAACCAAGGGAGGCTCAACAGGATCACTTAGATGATCTGACATATATTCCCTGAAGTTTGGGGAGCACAGGATGATGGAAGGCTGTGATTCAGAACAGAGAGAGAGGCAGCGAGAGCAGCAGGGACGGGGCAAGAATGTACAAGCATGTTTCGTTGTCCACGGAACTGGTGAGAGAGAGTGAGAACTCAAGACCAGCTTCCAGGGCCAAAGAAGTACCAAGCTGTGATAAAGGGAGAAGCTCCAAGTGGATGAGAATGTGAAGGTTTCATGATCACACTGGCTCAGTTAACTCAATTTCTGACACAAGATTGTTGTGATTTAGACGGGAATTCTGAGAACCACTTAGGATTTTGCCCCAGAGGTAGGAAGAATTTACCCCACAGGGCAGATTTAAAGTGTGAACACCAGAAGTATAAAGTTATTTTTTATTTGCATACTAGCTAGTCAAGTTGGTTCAAGAGAATGACTGAAAATATTTAATCTATTTGTTTTATTGTATTTCTGCTTGTTTTTCTGATTACTTATTTTGAATGTAGACGTTGGCCATTTGGGAATGTGAAATTGTAATTTTAAGCTCTGTCCTTCTCAAGCTCAGGATAAAGAAGAGTAATTTTGCTTACCCTGGGACTTTGTCTAATTAAGAAAGACAGTTTCATCCATCTAGATTGTGGTACGAAAGGAAACAAAACAAAACAAAATAAAGAATTTTAATCCAATGCAGAACTGGGGTGACAAGAGACAAATGGAGAAATTGAACAACTTCTAGCTTTCTTCAGGGTATGGTCTTATTACTTGTCTAGAAGAATTATAAATCTCAGAATGCCACCTACATTTGCATTAAATGTAACTATAAGGACATACTATAGATCAAATTTTTTTTTTATTCTCTACAATAACATTGCAATTTTTCTTGTTAAAATAAAGGGTAGTTAACAGATTTGTTGGACTTTATTTTTGCATTTGGCAGAATTCATTACTGCTTTCACTTTTATGCCACATAAAAATGAGAAAAGTCAACATTTGAGTTGTATGGATATCCATCACAGTCAAAATTAAAATCTAAAGTCTAATTCATATTGGGAGATATTATATAGTATTTTTAACTTCAATGAGTGAATAAAAAATGACTACTTAGTAAAAGGGGAGAATAGGGGACCCTTAGTTGTAAACTCTCACAACAATAATAATTTTACAACCATCCACAGACAGAATTGCTTATGTGGGAGTCTTAGGATTTGGGTAGGAGTGTGTGAAAACATGGCGGAGCCCAACACCTAGGAGGGTTGTTTAGAGAGGGCAGACTCACACACGAATGTGATCCCAGCTGCAGACCCAGAAATGGCCCTGTCTCCCTGTGGGCCCAGCACAGTCCTGTTTAGACTCCGTCCTACCAAAATCATTGGCCAAAGGGCCCAGGAGGAGTCATACACTCTGATGCCTCAGGAGACAAGCTTGCCCAGTTTGGTCTCAGGTCGAGATCTGGAAATATTCTTCTAACTCGGCTCCAGCCCCAATGTCCAAATATTGGATGGATATGAACACCCAGTTTCACAAAGTTCAAACTTCTCTAAGTAAGACCAACCCAAAGAAAAAGAAACCAAGGCACATTATAATCAAACTCTCAAGAGCCCAAGACATAATGATACTCTTTCCTTTGAGTATATACCCAGTGGTGGGATTACTAGATCATAAAGTAATTCTAATTTTAGTTTTTTGGGTTAGAAAGTAAGCAAGGCCCAACTGAAAGAAAATAAGTAACTCAAATGAAAACTAGACAAAGCACCTGAATAGACATTTCCCAAAATAAGACAAACAAATGGCCAATGGGTATAGGAAAAAATGCTCAATTACCAGGGAAATACAAACCAAAACCACAATATCACCTCACAACTGTTGTTATAAAAGAGATGAAAGACTATTATCAAAAGATGAAGGGTGGGAACCAGCAGTTAGCCTAATGGCTATGTTGCTGGACTCCCATGTAGTCAACCGCGGTTCACGTCCCGGATCCGGTGGCTTAAAACTCACGCTGGGTGCGTATGTGTGCGTGCCCAAGATCCCGAGAGGAGAATGGAGGAGAAGGGATTGTGGCATGACCATCCCCCCTGGGGGGTGATTTCTCGCTTTCTGTCTCTATGTTTCTCTCTGTCTGGCGAGCGCACGCGCCCTATAGTGAAAATCTCTCTAAAAAAAGAAAGATAAAGGGGGTACACATGTTGGTGAGGATGTGGAGAAAAGGGAACCCTTGTATACTTTGGTGGGAATATAAATTAGTACAGTCATATGAAAAACAGTATGGAGAGTCTTCCTCAAAAAATTAAAACTAGAAATACCATATGATCTAGAAATTCTACTTCTGTGTATACATGGAAAAGAAAACAATCAGCAAGCCAGGGAGATAGCTGCACTCCCATGTTCACTGCAGCATTATTCACAGTAGCCTAGCCATCAAATCAACCTACGTGTCCATTATCAGATGAACAGATAAAGAAAATATCGTATGTATACACAATGGAACACTATTTAGCCTAAAAAAGAAGAAAAACCTGTTATTTGCAACAGCATGAATGAGCCTAGAGAATATTATGCTAAATGAAATAAGTCAGGCAGAGAAGGACAGATACCATATGATTTTACTTATATGTGGAATCTAAAAAAACCCATAAAACTCAAAGAAGCAGAGACTAGAAAAGTGGTTATCTGGGTCTGGAGGTGAGGTGGTACTTGGGAGAAGACAGTTGAAGGATAAATAAAATTAGTTAGGAGGAATAAATTCAGGAGATCTATTGTACAACATGTGATTATAGCTAATAATAATTTGTTGCACACTTGAAAGTTATCAAGAGGGTAGATTTTAAATGTCCTCACCACAAAAAAAAAATCACTATGTGAGTTAATGGATTAGTTTAGTCATCCCCAAATGCAAACATACACCAGAATGTCATTTTGAAATACAAACACATGTGTATAGAGACACTTGCATAATTTTTGTCAGCCAAAAAGTATTAAACACTAAGAATGCATACTCAACATTGTATTTTGTGCTATAGAGATTAAGAAAGTATTTCTTTACTAGTCATGTAGCTCACTGACTTTTAGCGTATCTATCTTTTCTGCTCCTTGACCAACTAGGGAAAAAGGTGAGGTTTATATGGGGAACATGTTTTTAATTTGCACACAGAACGTCTGAGGGGCAAGTTATAACCTGGGCTTTATTGACAACAAGATATGCTTCAAGTCTAGCAAAGTTTGGCTAACCTCTACTCATCGTCTAAGGGGCAGTTTAAGCGTTGAATCCCTGAGGACGGGGGAGCCCCCCCATGCCAGTTTAGGTGCCTATCTTCTAGGTTTCTGTGGTAGCCAGGGTGTATTTCTATCATTGCGCTTATCATGTTATTCTTCAAGGTATTTTTTTTTTTTGTATGTGGGGGCGTCTGTCTCCAGTATTACACCGTGAGCTGATTGAGGGTAAGACCCACACCAAGTCTTACTTATTTTTTTTGTGCCTCAGTATTTAAAATTGCTTTCTATATTTTCTAGACTTAGCTGCAGTGTGTATCACTTAATGCTATGTTCAGAATCCAAAGTCGATCCTCGGGAATGCAACTGGGGACAAAGGGGTGGGGTAGGATGTTTACAATGATGGAACGATTCTTCCAGCTTTCTCAGAAGAGGAGCCCCACTGTGTCCTACTCTTCAAGCTCTAAATACAGGCCCCATGACTGAGTCCTCACTTCCAATTTACCAGAGTCGGGGTTAAAAAAAAGAAATGGGGCATTTTGGACAACACTGATTAGAAAAACAATAGCAGGTGATTTATGTAGGAGGGAACTTCTTTTGCAAAAACAAAAGCGGAACTTGGATTCTTGAGAACCAGTGGAAGAGTAACTTGCCTCTTCTACAGACACTTACCTTGAGGCTCTATGGTCACTAAAGTACCGGGGCATATAATAGAGCAAAAGCCCAGGAGGACCAGGCTGAAATGTTTAGGGATGTAGATCTTACCAGGTGATGGAAGGTGCGTCCCCCAGGATGCTTCTGATTTCCTCCCGGCATCTCTCCTGATGCTCGGGGTTCAGAGCCAGGCAGTAGAGGAGCCAGGAGAGGCTCACTGCTAAGGTGTCATGTCCCGCGAACATGAACGTGTTCACCTCAGATCGTACGTCAGTATCTGAGAAGCTGTCTCCATTTTCAGCCTAGAAGTAGAATACTTTTTTAAAATGTCAGTTTATAGATGTTTGGAGACCCAATCAAAATAATGGTTTTAGGGGGAAAAAATGAAAGTTTCAAATAAGGGTCTTAATTTGAATTCATTTCAACAAATGTATAACAGAAGCCACTTTTTCTGCAGAGGATAAAGGAGAACTGAAGTTAGGTAAGAAAAGCAGGGCCTGCAAGAGGGTCCCCCAATCCCTAGGCCTTAGACATGATCTTCACAGTCTAAGATTTTTCCTGATTTTGCAGCACCTCCTCGTCATCATTTTTCAGGCTCATCCTTGTGACCCATTTTCCTGTGATTGTCTGAACTTCATGTATCTGTATGATAATCTCAAAATTCTGTCCATCAGTAATTCAGTCTCCTCTGACGCCCTGACGGAGCTGGAGGATTCTGTCTTTACCTTGAACTGCATGGAGCCAAGCCGACCCACTAATTCGAAGTATGGTTGAATCTAGACCATCAGTCTTGCCTTTGTCTCCCCATCCCACGTATTCTCCTACCCACTTAATTAACGGACTATTTGCACAGAATCAGAAAGGAAGATTAACCTGGGCAGCAAGGAGAATATCCAGAAAATCCTGGTACTTCCTCTTCGGATCCTGCTTTACCCCATTCTTGAGGGATTGCTTTCGGTCTTGGATGATCTTTTCTGGGTAGAAAAATAGTTTTACATTACCAAAGTGACAGCAAAGTCAATCAAAGCTGAATACATTACAAAAGAAGTCATAGTCAATGAAAAGCTCCAAATTTTGCCTAATGGCCAGAGTGGATGCATCATATTTAAATAGATTTAATTTTCACAAATGGCTTATTTTTCCCTTCAAATAGACAATTTAGGTCAGCACTCTATAGACAAACTCAGTTGATTAAAAAAGAAAAAAAAAGAAAACACTTCATTTGGGACCAGCAGATGGTGTGATGGTTACATTACTGGATTCCCACGAAGTTGACTGTGGTTCGAGTCCTGGACCCAGTGGCTTAAAACTTGGGGCTGGCAGGTGGCTTAGCGGTTAAAGGCTCTGGACTCCCACATGGCCAACAGTGATTTGAGTCCTGGGTCTGGCAGCTTGCTTTCTCACTTTCTCGCTCTCTTTTTCTCACTCTGTCCCTCCCTGGTCAAATTAAAATAAATAAAGTTAAGTAAAATAATTCTAAAAATAAATCCCCACAAAAATCACACTGGGTGCATGGGCGTGCATGCCCGAAGTCCCGAGAGGAGAATGGAGGAGAGGGGACTGTGTGGCCATCCCCCCAGGGGATGATTTCTTGCTTTCTGTCTCTGTCTCTCTTTGCCTTTATGGCAA